GGCAGCTCCAGCGGCAGGTGCGGAGTGCCGGCAGTGCCGGGCAGCCCAGGCCCCGCAGCCAGCAGCGCGGAGCCCAGCCCAGAACAGCCTAGTGGCGCCAGCGGGAACTTAAACACCGCCGCCTGCTCGGCCTTCAACACCGCTGCAAGGAGGGATTAGGGCATCGGGTGAGCTCGTGCCCTGTTCCTCTTCCTGGAGGCCTTCCACCCACCCCTGCACTGGCACTATTAACTGCTGCAGGAGGGACAGATGCCTGCCACCCTGGACAATACCCTCCTGCCTGGCCACGAAGGGCAAGATTTAAGCCACGCACTTAGGGTGACCCTCTCCACCAGTAGTGTCTTCGAGTCTGAGAGGGGGGACCTCCCCAACTCCTGGCTCTGCCCTGGTGCTCCCAAGCCTAAGCCGTGGGTCTCTGAGATTTCGAGATTCTCAATGAACACTTTCACAACTCTGAGATGCACAGAGTGTGTTTCGCAGAAAAGGGAGGCCAAGAAGAAAGGACAGCAAAGTAGGAATATGAGCGTTTGCCCAGTCAAATCGGCATCGCAGCGTTTGATTAAAGAATATCGATGGAGTGAGCATGTCTGCTCCTCTGTGTGGACAAAACAGCGGGGAGGCAGGCAGAGGGTGGACAGCAGGGGTAGGGTTGAGCCCTTCCTGCAAATTCCAAAGCACCCCCACGAATCCTGAAATTGTTCTTCCTGTTTTCTCTGTTTAGACTCTACCCCGTGAAGATATTTCCATTTTTATTAGCCCTATAATAATTTTTTTGCCCGCTTCAAACGAATTATTAACTACGATGCAGCTGGAGGCAAAAGGCAGATGAGAGGCTGCATCAAAGTTGAATTTAAAACGAACAAACTGGCCCTGCTGTCGGGAGGGAGGGCGGAGCACTGGCTGGAGGGTCACCGAGGCCTAGGAAGATGGCTGGCGGGGCTGCGGTCCGCTAGAATGTGGAGGCCTCCCTACCCCACGGGCCTCTCACTGCCAGCGGGTGCTGCTCCATAGAGTCAGCAAGAACCAGCCAAGGTGTGGGTAACTATTAGGAGGGGATCAGAAGGGAGAACCCTTGAGGGAAGGTAGGAGAGGGAAGGCGGGCCGACCCCACTGAGAAAAACCAAGAAAGACCGAACTACCGGTGGAGAGAGCTGCGGAAAGGCCAGAAGAAGGAGCATGGTGGAGAGAACACCGGTAAAACAAGGCAGGACCTGCCAAAGAAGGAAATCAGTAGAGGCAGAAAAGGCCCCAGCGGTCAGCTCTAACTCCACATAGGCGCAGCAGACCTGGAAGCGGAAGGACCAGTCGGGCAGCGGTTCACAATCAGGCCTCTTGTCCCCAGGTAAGGCTAAGGTGGGCGGGGGTGTGGGTGCTGCAGCCGAGGCCGGTTGGTCGTCCGCCTGAGACTACGGGCCGGCATGGGCCAGCGTCAGCCGGGCCGCACAGCACTGAGAGACACGGGCCTCTTCTCCAAGGTCTGGCTTCCTAGCCTAGGGACTGTTCTGACCACTTCTGGCCAGTTATTTGCGGTGCAGGCCCAGGCGCCCACGGCCTGAGGTCGCTTTGACCCGCAGTCTGAGGTTAGCAGTCTGGTCCTGCGCCTTTGATGGGGATGCGGGCTCGGTCCCTGGGCCGGGACCTTCCCGGGCTGGAGACCGCAGTGAAGGAGAGCGCGAACACCCTCTCGGTCAGCCCGGCCCGCGGGCACGGGGCCTGGTTCGTGCGCCGCCCGGCGCCTGCCCCTCCGCTTCCCCACCGGGGCGCCGAAGGGGCGGCCCGGGGCCCGCGCGCCCATTGCTGCGTCCTCGCAGCGGCATGGCTCGCCTCTCCCGCCCAGCTGCTCGCGTCCTGAGCCCCACACCTACCCAGGTGGCTGAGGAAGGGCC